TTTTGTCCTGTCTGTGTCAGACATACTTTGCAGTTCAGCAGTTTGGTTGTCCCTTGCAATTTGGATTTCATGATCTAAGTATTTATTTTAATGAACAGTCCCAATAACGGAACCAAAATGAGCCTACTAACCAACGAAAAGTATATATTTCGTAGTATATAAAACGTTGAAGTTCTAAACCAATTTTCCACAGACAGCAATCACAGAAGGACAACTACAAAAAACATAAATAAAATGCTCAATGATAACCTTAGACGAAGACAAGTTAGTCTTGGTTATGAAATTGACAGAATTTTGAGAATGAATAATGAAGCAGAAAATATAACTACTATTCATCAAAAGACTAGCATTTATAACTCTCCCTAAAACCAAAACAATTTCTAGAATAGAAAATAATTTATACAGACAGGGAAAACAACAACGCCTGAATCATTTATAAAATTAAGAAAAAGAATAATTATATTCAGCTATGAAGAAATATCTAAAAGCATCATTACTATTTAGAACTTCCTATTTCATGATTAACATCATAGTGTAAATGAGGAAAAACACTAACTCATTAATTCAATCATCAAATCACTTATACAATATTCGTGACATAAAAAATATAATTTTTAATTAAAGAAAGTGATTTTTGCAGCTCAATATACCACGTATATTTACTTTTCGTTCTAGTTGAAAATCCCATATGCCAGAATTCCGAGAAAAAAATTCATAAATAGAACTATGACAGTATAAAATAATCATCACCTATGTAAAATTTCTTGGTGTGCAGGATATAATGATGTGGCGTTACGATGAAATATCACACCTAACCATTATATTTGTCTAACATCAATAGTATATTAAACTATATATTACCATAAAAAGATTGTAATTATATTTATATTTCGCTGTAATCTAGCGTCCCACTTAATGTACCCAGAGGAACAGTATTTTTCTTGGACTATTCTTATTATTTTGAATTGTCATTCTATTAATGTGTCTGTTTTCCTTTTTCATCTTAAATCTATCAATTTATGTTGTTTATCAAGCACAAGTTCCTGATATAATTAACCCATATTTTTTGCTGTGGTTCTTTTTAGGATTTTTATTTCGTTTCATTATAATTATCAACGTGTTTTGTGAGATTCAGGTCTTCTTTCAGCCGTGTATCTGTGATTTTAATATGCACGTTTTTCTTTTTATTTTTAGGTGTATATTTGTATATATTGTGTCGTTGAGGCGTTCCCTGTTCTGCGAAACATTCAATGAGGCGGGTTGAACCGTCTGCCATGGCCATCGCCATCGCCATGGCGATCCTTCGCTGTGCGAAGGTTTTTGCTATGTCTCTGAGATGTATGTACGTTAGCCTTGTTTTATTCTAACAATTTCTGAACTATTTGTCTAATTACAAATAAAACATCGAGTTAGTTTAAATACCTAGGCATCACACTATCTAGCTACGAAAAGCTCGAAACAGAAGTGGAAGATCAAGTAAATAGAGCAAACAGAGATGCAACTTACCTGAATAAAACAATATGGAGAAAAGAAGTGGTTTCAAAAAATAGCAGTGTGCAGAACACGAGCTGACAGAAAAAGCAGAGGTAGATCACCTACACGATAGACAGACGACTTTAAAAAAAATCGCAGGGAATTGGTTGTAGGAAGCTTAAGACCAACAGAACTGAAAATAATTAGGGGAGGCCTGTGTTTAACTTTGGACAAAGAAGGCTGGATGATAATAATGATGACTGGGATTGATCCATGTCCATTTTTAAAAACCTAATAGGTTTAAAAAATGTCTACCCTTAGAGAAGAAAAAAAACTGTAAAAAGAAGAAATATCTATGAGAAAAGAGATCATCTGACAGAGTACAGTCATAGAAAAGGAAAAAGAGAATGATCAATGAGAATAATCAATGGAGAGATCATAAGCTATTGATGGAACTGTGGTCACAGGCAACTGGATTGCTTTCTGACGCAAGTGCTCAAAGGAGATAGATGTAGATACCAGAAAAACATAGTGATGAGAAGCACACAACTAAAACGAAAAGAGATATACAAAGGTACGTGGGTTTCTCCAGATGGAAGGACAGTGAATCAAATAGATTATGCTATGATTGAAAGTAAATATATGAATATCGTTCAGAAGGTAAGAAGTATGCGAGGAGCTGAAATCGACTCGGCCTATTACCTCGTTAAAGTCACATGTAGGAGGAGGCTGGACGAAAAAGAGAAATTGAACAATAAAATAAAGAGAAAGTACAATATTGAAAAACTTAAAAGAAAGGGAAAGGAAAGAAAAGGAAGTAGAAATAAAAATTAAATATGAAGAAAAAATAAATAAAATTCTATAACAATGTGACCAAAATTTACAGACATATCAAGCCTGGGAACAAATTAAATCTACCGTAGGAGAAGCTAGCGAGAAAATAGTTAAGTGCGACTCCAAGAGAAGTAAAAGCAAAGATTGGTTTGACGAAGAGTGTCAGGCGATAGCAAAGAAAAAGAAAAAGATCAGACAAAATATATTAACAGATAATAGAGAGTGTAAAAAACAAGAATATAGAATAATTCGAGGAAGATTGAAAGCTCTGTGTAGAAGGAAAAGAGATACCACAATGAGTTGAAATTAAAAGAGATAGAAGAGAAGTTTTAAAAACAAAGAGGTGAGGTCGTTCTATCAAGAAGTTAAAAATATGGAAAAAGGTTACCAAAAAAAAAAGGTTACATATGACTGTAGTCATATGAAAGATAAAGACGGAAATTCAATTAGCGATCTGGCAGAAATAATGACGGAATGGAAAAAACATTTTGAAGAATTATTAAATCTTGAGGTGGACCACGAAGCAGTAGACAACTGGACGGTTGGAGAAGATGCGATAGTTGAAAGGCAGCCTACAGGGGAGGAGGTGGTGACAGCAATACAAGAAATGAAAAATAACAGAAGTCCTTGTAAAAATGACATATGCATAGAAATGATGAAGTTTGGTGGAGAAAAACTACAAAGAAAAATATATCAGCTACTAGCGCAAGTATGGGAAAAGGAAATAATGCCATCGGAGTGGTATGAGGCCCGCATATCCCTCTGCATATAAAAGGAGGTGTGACAACTATAGAGGTATAGCCTTACTAGACACGGTATAGAAAATCCTGGCAAGAATATTGAGAAATAAAATAAATTGCTACACGGAAAGAATCCTGCATGAATATCAGGCCGGCTTTAGAAAGGACAGATCTACTGTAGAGCAAATCTTCTCATTAAAGGAGATACAAACGACTTGTTATGTAAGTCAAGTTCCCTTGCATGTTTTGTTTGTGGATTTGTGGCATATGATAGAGTCGTTAGAGTCAAAATATATCGAGCAATGGAACATTTGGGTATACCAAAGAAACTGATCCGGCTAGTCAAAATGACACTAAATAACTCTACGCGTGAAATTGCTTGGCAGAGTCACATATCAGATCAATTTACGGTTGCAAAAGGCTTGACATAAGGAGATCCTTTATCCACTACATTATTCAACTTAGTGTTAGAAACTGTAATCAGAAAATACAGCATGAAGGTGGAAGAAACGATCATGAAAAATGAGCACCAGTGCTTAGCATTTGTTGACGATCTAACGATCCTAGCAAAAACCGAGAAAGAATTAAGAAGAGTTGTGAAGAAAATCATCGAAGAAGCACAGAAATTCGGATTGGAACTAAATGAAGACAAAACCAAATATATGATCATGGGAGGGACCGAAGGGAAAAAAGAAGACTTTAGTGTGAGGTCTGTAAGTGGTAAAAGCTATAGTTTTAAAAGGGTGGACAAATTTGAATATCTGGGTGTAGTTTTCGATAAAAATGGAAAAAAGAAATGGGAGCTCGAAGCCAGAATAGCAAAAGGAAATAAAAAATTAGGTAGTTTAAGAGCCCTACTGAACTCAAAATACGTTTCTAGACAAGGTAAACTCAGAATATATAAAACAATAATTCGACCCACAGTAACATATGCCGGTGAGACATGGACATTAAATAAGAAGGAAGAGGATACTCTGGAAAGATGGGAAAGAAAAATATTGAGACACATATTCGGAGGACGGAAGACAGAAGATGGTTGGAAGAGAAGAACCAACAATGAATTAATGGCTTTATACAATGAATCTACCATTACCAAGTTCGTCAAGGCACAAAGAATCAGATGGTTGGGACATGCGGAAAATAATAGCAGCAAACAGAATGCCTAAACTAGTAATAACCAGAAAATTAATCGGCCCCAAAAGAAGAGGTAGACCCAGAACGAGGTGGATTAGTAAAGTGAAGGAAGACCTTAAACACGTGAAGGTGAGGGACTGGAAAAGAAAAGCACAAAATAGAAGCGAATGGAGAAATATTGTACACCAGGTCCTTCAGAGTAGTTAAGAATGTGTATATATATATTTATGTTCAAGATTTGTTTAAAATAATTGTAATTAGTTAATATTAGGATTATGTTGTAAAAAATGCTCTAGGCCTTAACGGCCTGTTGTGCGTAAAAAATAAAAAGAAAAAAAAAAAACAGACAAACTAATCTTACTTAAAAAAATCCCGGACATCCTGGTAAAATTTCATTATATTCTTGTGTTTTCTTTAAATTTTTACATAAAGCAATATTATAAAGTTTACTTTACATTTTACGAAATAAAATATTTTGTAAAACATAGAAACCTATTTTTTATTAAAAATTAATATCGGATTATTTAAAATATTAATTTCGAAATTGGAATACTTTTTTTTAAACTTTTTGTATATTTCTAATTGAAAAAGTAATGTTTATCCTATAACCAAATTATAAATAATAATGTTAAAATGTCTAGTTCAAGTTTGTTACTTTCCTGTTAAAAAATTGTAAAAGGAAGCATCGAAATATAACATAATATAGAAGAAAGTCACAGTAAATATTGTGAAAATTCTTGTTAAAACTTTATATAATCTAAAAAAAAATTATTTAAGAAAATTAAAAACCGTATCTTATTGGAGACATCATTAACTTACCAAAAATTCTAATCCTACTGCCAAAAATGAAAAAATAAATCGCGAAAAAATCCACAAACACTTCGGGTGCGCACTAGGACCCGGTCAGTGTGACCACCGTCGCAACCGCACTGAAACTGATTCGTTGAATTTCTTCGCGAGAATGGCACTTGCTTCAGAAATTACTGCTTTCACTGCTCTTACCACTTCAGACTGCGGTCCGGTAGAAAATAGGCAGAATTATAATTTTATTTAACAATGACCGATACAGCAGGTTACGTTCAGCGATACTTTCGAAATTTTAACTTGGTCAGTGGATTTCGGAGATAGAGGTGAACCGTACAAAAAAAGAGAAGAAAGTGTTTTTTTTTCGGACGAGCTGAGTGAATTCAGTCAAGTTTAAATACTGTTTTAGTAATTAATTGACAATTGAAGCCGGTGGGGTAAAAACGTCTTCTAGTATTGTTTTATAATTTTATTTTTTATTTTAATACATACAAAGTGTGTAAACATGTTCAAGTAATTTCAAGGCACAAATTACAATAGAATTTACGTTCATACACATATCCTGCAATGTCATGTACGTAAATGAAATGTGTACAATGGTACCTGTGTATAAAGTTTTGCCTCTTTGCTGTTTCTTTCATTTATTGCCTTTCGTTAAATTAAAACATACACTGTTTTATTCTTCTTGTTATTTACATTTTTTTCTAGCTATCTTATTTCTTTCGTCCATCTTCTATCCTTTTTATAACTAAAACAACAGTATTTACAATAGAAAAACATGCTACAAAAACTCTCGGGTGGATATGTAACCCCTAGAAAGCGCGGATAGGGGAATGCCTGTACCAGCTTCAGCTGGCGGGTAGGTCTTCTTCTTCTTCTTTTTATATAGACTCTGTCTGTTTTTCAATGTGCCTCCAGTAAGTTGTCGTTCCATCGTTTTCGTGGTCTTCCTACTGATAATAATCTTCTTATAGGGGAACCCTCTTTTGCCGTTTTTACTACTCTATTTGTTGTCATTCGGCTTATTTGATCGTTCCATTCTACTTCTATTTCTTACCCACTTCTTGATGTTCTATACCTTGCAACTACTTATATCTGTATTTCTAGCTCTGTCCCATAGTGTCTTACCATCAATTTTTCTAAGTGCTTTCTAACATATATGTTGTTTCTAACATATTTTTTGTCCACTCTGTGTCACGTATCATATATATATATATATATATATATATATATATATATATATATATATATATATATATATATATATATATATACATAAATACATAAATACATTATATCATGATTCTACATTAACTGACAAAATTACTGTTTTGAAGTCATTTTTCCATAGCTACCTCTGGATTTAAGGTAATTATGGAAAAATTAACTTATTTTTACATAAGTGGATGCATAGCTAGGGTTTAGTGAATTTTTTTTATTGCTGAAAATAAATAAAAAACAATAAGGATAATATTTTTAATAAAAATATCATATTTATTAATATGGGAACTTATAAATACATGCAGACTCTAATTTGTTTATGATAACCGACTTAAACTGCAAATTTCATAGGTGTGCCAACTGATAGGGGAACGAGTTCGTACTGGTTAGCCCCAATCACTGGATATTTTTTTAAGACGATCAAATAAAAGTTGCTCTTTTTCAGTTGTTAAAACTGTTTTCCCTCCTATTTTATTCACGTTACTGCCTTGTTTGTAAGGTCTCTGTAACGTGATAAATGGTATATTATGTTTTTTAGAAGATTTTCCTAAACAAACAGCATTTTTCAAGTCATTTAGAGCTGTGTTTTTCCACTCACTGGTTTATATTATTGCGAGTCATTATGTTGTTAAACATCCCCTAGGTAACAAAAGAACTGATTAACTGTATTTACCTTATAAGGATTATGGGCGATCTGATTTACTCCGCACATTTCAGATTCGTAACCTAGCAACAGACAAAAATTTAGTGAACAAAAACTTTGTAACTCAAATAAGGTCACATTAAGCCTATAAGTTTGTCTGTTTTATAGACTACAATAAAGCGTTTGATAAAGTAAAACATGATCGACTCCAGGAAATTCTAAAAAATAAAAACCTAGATGAAAGAGATTTAAGGCTAATAACACACCTCTATTACAATCAGCGAGCAATAGTAATAATCGAAAAAGAAACATCTGAAGAAATGGAAATAAAGAGAGGAGTCAGGCAAGGCTGCATTCTATCACCTCTATTATTTAACGCCTATTCTGAAGAGGTAATTCGAGAAACTCTGGAAGATGAAACAGTCGGCATAAGAGTAAATGGAGTCTTAATTAACAACATTAGATATGCAGATGATACAGTAATAATAGCCGATAGTTTACAAGACCTGGAAAGACTCATGAGCAAAATAGTCATGTGTAGTAGGGAGTACGGACTCTCTCTTAATGTCAAAAAGACGAAGTTAATAAAAATTTGTAAAAACAACTATAATACTAACGAAATCTTGATAGTAGAGGGCCAGCAGATCGAAAGAGTAAAAAAGTACACTTACCTAGGAACACTTATAACAGAAAATAATGACTACACGGCAGAAATCAAAGTCAGAATCGAAAAAGCACGTTCTAATTTTATAAAAATGAAAAAGGTCCTATGTGGCAAAGATCTAACATTAGCTCTTAAAGTACGCCTAACAAAATGTTACGTATACAGTGTACTATATTATGGAGTGGAATCATGGACGTTAAATCTAGATACCATGAGACGACTTAACGCCTTTGAAATGTGGACCTATAGAAGAATTATGAGGGTTTCCTGGGTAGATAGAGTTACAAACAATGAAATACTGAGAAGAATAGGCAAAGAGAAGGAAATTGAACTTACAATTAAAGAAAGAAAGCTACAGTATCTCGGACATGTGATGCGGGGCGATAAGTATGGCATCCTGCGACTCATAATGCAAGGAAAAATAGATGGCAGAAGAAGCATCGGAAGAAGACGAATTTCATGGCTGAAGAACCTGAGAGAATGGTTTGGATGCAGCTCAAAACAACTATTTAGAGCTACTGCCTCAAAAATTAAGATAGCTATGATGATTGCCAACCTCCGCAGCGGAGATGGCACCTGAAGAAGAAGAAGAAGCCTATAAGTAAAGGGGCAGCAGCGATACTGGAACAACTCTTATGGAAATGGTGAACTGGTTGAACTGGTTTTGAACTGGTTTTGAACTGGTTTTGAATTTATGTTAACGTATACGCTACCATCTTCCCGTTCCAACGAGCCTGCGTACGTCACACTGGAACCAATAACAACGGAGATACGATATAGCGCCGTTTTGGCAATGTCTTTGCGTTTGATTTTTACCTCAACGTATTCCCCGTCCCCTCCGCTTTCCAACGATACCCTACACGTCACGATCGGACGAGCCGTTTTATCCCCACCACAAAATGAGACAAAAATGACCAGAATGGACCTTAGCGATTTCCCATGTTAATTTCCATACGAGTTGTTTTAGTACCGCTGCTGCACCTTTACTCCTATACTAATTGTATGACCAAATTTACCACACTAATTATTTAGAGGATTAAAATCAGAATTATTGTTTTCACACGTTGCTTCAGAACTCATATCACACAATACACTACCCAACGGTGTGTGGTGTATTCTGTGGTCATATCGTCCATATGACATATATAACATTAGGAGAGTTGCAGTTCCAAAAAACCAGAAGCCAAAAAATGCGAAGATTACCGTACTATAAGCCTCATGAGTCATCTCCAAAAATTGTTCCTAAAGATAATCAATAAGAGAATCTACAACCTATGTGAAAGTCAAATTTCCCCCAACCAGTTCGGGTTCACAAATGCTGTTGGCACTAAAGAGGCTTTGTTCTCAGTACAAGTCCTATTCCACAGATGCAGAGACGTCAACTGCGACATATACGCATGTTTGGTTGATTACAAGAAAGCGTTTGATTGAGTATAGCACGCCAAGATGATACAAATACTAAAATAAGCAGAAATTATCAACCAAGATCTGAAAATAATTAGAAATCTTTACTGGAATCAGACAGCAAATCTCAGAGCTGAAGGTGAACATACTGACTATGTGAAAATCATGCGTGGAGTGAGGCAAAGCTATATTTTGTCTCCTTTAATCTTCAATCTGTACTCTGAAAGAATATTTATCGAAGCTTTTCACGAAACTAAAAAAGGTAACAGATAACACCATACTATTTGCGGACAACTTAGAAGACCTTCAAGTTCTTATGAACAAAATCACGTATTACAGTATATGGACTCAATATACACGTTAAGAAGACAAAGCTTACGATAATTAGCAAGAAAAGGATAACAGAAGATCAACTCTACGTAAACCAATCCCCTGTAGAAAGAGTGACGCACTACAACTATCTCGGCACCCTAATAAATAAATAATTAACCAACAACCAGAAGATTAGGGCACACATCGGAAAAGCTAGTCCACCTTCAATCGGATGGGGGCCTTCTTCAAGAGTCACAACCTCTCTCTTGATACTAAAGTAAGAATGCTGCGATGCTACGTCTTCTCTGTCCTTTTTTATGGTATTAAATCGTGGACCTTGAACGAAGATATGTGAAGAAAATTGGAAGCATTTAAGATGTGGCTATATCGGAGAATACTTAAGATCTCGTGGACTGAGCGAGTCACAAATGGGGAGGTGCTGACAAGAATGAATAAGAACCGAGAGGTACTGACCACCATTAAATCTCAAAAGTTACAATTCCTCGGACATATTATGCGAAATCAATCCAGATACGCTCTCCTTCAAGCCTTTCTGCAATGAAAAAATTAGGAAAACGAAGAACAGGAAGAAAAAGAACATCTTGGGTAAAGAACCTCAGAATCTGGTTTAATGCAATTTCTGTGCAGCTTTTCCGCGCTGCTGCAGATAAGATAAAGATTGTCATGATGATCGCCAACATTCGTAACGGATAGGCACATTAAGAAGAAGAAGACAGTTAATTTCCGGTCGTAATATCATGTAAGCCAACTAAATAAATATTGAACAAATAATCTTTCTCTTCATAATATATAATTGAGATATAATTGTATGCAAACTCAAAGTTTCGTACCGACTCCACTGATCCAATTTCCTTCGTTTTACGGTACTTTGTATCGTTTTAAGAAATTATTTATATTTTTTTGACGACTAGATTCATTAATAATTTTGTGTTATCAATATTTAAGTATTACTATCCAAATCTCTATTACTATCCATTAGAATTCTTTATTATTGTATGTTCGTGACGATTCACGCAAGTTTTTCCTTTATAAAATAAACTGAGTTAAAATAATATTTGGTCATCCAATATCCACAAAAGCAAATAATTTGT